AACTTCTGGTGGAAGGAAATACAGCTCAGCTTTCATGTCAAGAGACTGATCAGTTTCCAGCTTCGCAGGAGACTACCATATGCAAATAAAAGACCAAACGGAAAACGGAGCTGATACGTTCAGAAGGCCTAAACTCTATGATGCAGGCCGTGAGTATGGTCACCGAAGGAACGGAATATACAATCAACAGAATTACCAAAAATATTTCCATCATGGATATTTAAAACCGAGTACGATATATTTGGCCTCAGGTGACCCGGTCTCATGCCTCGGGAATCAGGCCTCGGGTCTCAGTTCACACCTCCTCTCATTGCCAATCGGGTTAGAGTTTACTAAACATTGGTGAATGTAGTAGGCGATGTGCTCAACGCTCTTTCGCAAACGCCGACGGTTGATTCAAGTGTGTGCTGACAAAATGTGTAACAGTCAATTCTGGTCCGCAAGTGCTGATTTTTCATTGGTGTGCGAATTGGCTCAGTATTTGCCTAATTGCCTATTTTCGATTGTCTGTTCAGGCACGCCTTCAGCTCCAACAGATTTGCAAGTGCGCAAAGTAACGAAGAGCGGTGTGAAATTGTCCTGGACTGCGCCAACTGACAACGGAGGCACTCCCATCACAGGATATGTGGTCCGCTTCTGGCCACCTGATAACGGCGCATCCGTGGAGTTTCCATCACCGACAACAGATGTGGAAGCATTTGTTGTCGCCGATAAGCTAATGGGAGCATCATCCGGGCAATTTGACGTGGCAGCCATAAACACCAAGGGAGTCGGCCAGTCGTCGGAACGCGCGGACACGACAAGTCTTCAAGAAGAGAGTGCGCCACCAAGACTATTTCAATCGAGCGATGCTGCGTACCCACGTAGCGAAGGTGTTGCTGGCCCCGAGTCCATTGAATATCAGGTTGGTTTCTCACCGACACCAAATGTGACTCTGACGTTTGTCGTCTGTTAATATTGGTGTTTTAAGCAGAGGATTTGTGTGCGATTCAGCAAGAAATTGATGGGAAGATTCGGCGTGTGATTGAGTGAGCGAGCGAGTGATTGATTGATTGATTGATTGTTTGATTTATTTATCGATTTATTGATTGATTAGTTGATTGATTGTGAATCTGTGAGTGATTTTGTTTTTGTGTGAATGTGTGAATATTACTGTGGTTTATGTCTTCTATTGATTCTTCTCTTGGTTATGTCTCGTGTACGGTGTGATCCTCTGGACTAACTTGTGTATTCGCTGTTGGCTCTTCTG